GAGAGAGAGAATAATCTTTAAGGCTTATAGAATATATAGTTGTGGATGTCTATATTAAAAAAGAGGAAAGGCCTCAGGTCAATAATCTTCTGCTGTAAGAAACCAGGAAAGGAGCAGAAATCTAAACCCAAAGCAAGCAAAGGAGAGAAGTCATAAAGATTAGGACAGAAAAAAAAAACCCCGAAAGAATAATAAAAAGGTCATGTATTGTATGACTCCATTTATATGCAGCACCCAGAATATGCAAATCCACAAGACAGAAAGTAGATCAGCCTTTTCTAGGGGCTGAGAAGGGAGATTGGAGTGACTGCTAATGCTTTCTTTCTGGGGCACTGGAAATGTCCTGAAATCCAACACTGGAGACACAGCTCTGTGACTGTGCAGAAACCCACTGGGCTGTAGAGTTTACACAGGCGAGTTTTAGGATTTGTGAATTGTATTTCCATAATGGTGCTAAAAACAACATTTAACAGAGATAATTAGGTGAACAAGATTGTATCAGGGTCCCTGAAGGGCCAAGGAAGGAATATGACATTAAAGGACATGCAGAGGCCCCAGGTGTGTAGGAAATTTTTGGTTTTATACAAATAGCAATAGCAAGCTGCCAGGGCAATTTCAAGCCTGGGGCTGCATGCTAGGACCAGCCTTTTGGGAAGCTCACTGTGACAGTAGCCAGGATGACTGGCTACAGGGGTACAGAGGAGGATCTGGGGAGGCAGCTGCAGCCCAAACACAAAGAACTGCATTTCAGAAGGTTTGGGGTTCAAGGTCACCTTGCTAGTGGAGATAGATGTGGCAGACAGCCTGGTGCACAAATCCTCTGCTCCCCCTAGTGCTGGTCTGAACACTCCCAGGTCATCTTCACTCTGGGTTGCAGGGGTAGCAGGGAACAGCGTGTCATATGAAGCAGGCTGCTGGGTACCTGTGGCTGGCCCTGGCTGGTTACAAATGGTGACAACTGAACAAAAAGAAGGACTCCAGACACTGGAACAACTCAAAGCTGAGGTGGCTCTGCCCACCCAGACCATGGAGGATTGAACTGAGCGTGTCTTCTAGAGGGAAGCCAGGTGTCTGCTTTGTCTCTGGATTGGCTCCCTTCTCTCTTAACCCTCCAGACCCTGTTTCTCATGACTGAACTATGGCTCAGTATCAATCTGTCCCCCTCAGCCCCACACTTTTGCTGCAGGAGCTCTAACCCAGGGCTCCATGCTCACTCGTATGCGCTACTACTAGACTGTATCCTAGTCCCCACTGTCACCCCACAATTTTCCAGGTTATTAAGGGAGGGACTTAGATGTGCTATCCTGGCCTGGGTATGGCCTGAGGGAACTGGGTGGTCACAATGTAAAGTCAGCGCTTCTGAGGCCATGCCTGGTGGTTGCTAGGCCATCAGACAGGATGCCAGTTTACCTTATTATAAAAGGTTTCCCCTTACTCCTACTCAATAAACTCAGCATTTCCATTAGTCTTGCTCTGAGGAACTAACTACACAAGGTTCTGTCACTTGAATCCATTCACGGACACAACCTTTCCTCTCCCTTTCTCCTCCTTGTAGCCCTTTACTGTGCAGGTAAGATTCTAGAATGTCGAAAGCCTGACTACCTTCACAAATTGTTAGTTACCCCAGAAAAGAAAGGCCTGGCCTGTGTCCTCCTGAAATTTTTATTGAAAAGGCCCGAAGTCTGGTCATTGTCTCCTTTTTGCCTGCTGTTTGCAATGCAAAGCCCTGGTGATCTTGGAATAAATAGGCTTATAACTGGGGACTGAAGGGTATAGGAACTGGCTGTGAAGCCTGTGGGAGACTGTGTGAGGGGCACCTGCCCACACTGCCCTGCTGCTTCCTGCCCTGGCTCATCCTCCTATTTCAGCTGGCCCACAAGGGCCACATGCTGTGGCACCCTTTCTGTAGATACACTGGGGTCAGGGGGCTGCCAGGACCGAGCCCTTCATGCTGGGGGCCGAGTCTCTGGTCCTGAGCAGCTTGATTGATCTTAGCTGGGGTTTCCTCTCTTGCTGGGAGAAGCAAAGCACAGGAGTTCTCCAATCTGCAGCTGCTCTCAGACATCAGAGGGGGGACAGGGGCAGTCTGAATGCAGACGCAGGTTGGGGGCTCTTTTCACTTAGAATTCTGGCAGCATTTATAAGGAGACCGCATAGTTTGCTGTCTCATTATTCATGGCCCGATGCTGTTGTCTTTCTAGAATGTTGCCTCCAATACTAATTGTCAGCCCTGTGCACAGAGCTGGTGCAGACTCATAGCCACCAACCTCTGCATTTAATTTGCTGCTGCTGAGTGGAAGGGGTGGGAGTAGGCTGTGTTAGAGGATTGATAAAACCTCAGAGTGGCTGGGAGGGGAGGGCTGGCTTTGTGGGTCGTTTCCCACTCCCAGTAGAGTAGCTAACAGGCTCCTCGTGAATAGCCTGACCTCTGATTGCTGGTACCCTGTTCTTCCCAGGGCCCAACTGTACTCTGACATTTTCAGGCAAAGACTGTGCCTTCTGTTTTGCTGTTTCTCCCATTATCCATCTATATATGCATCTATCCACTCAGTACTCCAGCATGTTACCTGTAAAAACTGAGAATGCCCAGAGAATATATGTTTCTCCACATCATATATAGATATACAAACATGTATTTATAAAAATGTAAGATATGTCGCTATGTACCAGACCTGTGTATAGATAACAGTGTGTGCACAGATACGTTTATATTATCTGTTTCTGTAAGCATGTGTAATTAAATAGAAGCCCAGAAAAATAAGATCAGAAAAAATAGAGATTAACCAAATGTCAAAAGCAGTGGTGGAAGACTTAGAATATATACATATACATATACATATACATATACATATACATATACATATACATATACATATACATATACACACGCGCACGTGCGCGCGCACACACACACATGTATGTGTATATTCGAGTCATAGAGTCCAACACATTTTACTGTGAGTCAGACTTTTAACTCTGCTGGGTAATCAAGGCAGGAAGAAAATATCTGTGACATGGTTTGTGTGATCTATAAGGAGAGAGACACCAGACACATTAGATCTGAAGGAAATCTCTCACTTGGCCCCTCAGTGAGGGGTAAAACGTGTGGCAGAAAACAAAGAAAGCATGTGGTATACAGGTGCTCTCCTCCGGCACCCACGGGTGACAGCACTAACTGACCATTCCCACTCTGAAACAAGGGCTGCTCCACTGTCCTAAGCATGACTCTCCAGGCAGACATTATTACTTATTTAGGACGTACATGCTCCATGAAATCCTGTAGCTGGTCTTCAGCTACTCTGTGGGTTCTTTCTTCTACCCTTCTCTACCCCTTTTCTTCCACCATTCAACCCCCAACACTAGCTAAGAGAGAAGAAAGGATAGGGAGGAAAGGAAAGAGATCCCTGAATAAAGTCAGGGGTTGGAAAAGGGGGCAACTTTACCACTCAACTTCTTGCTGAGTAGGGATATTGAATTCCTTGGGGCAAGTTTGATCTTTGCCATCAGGACATCTAATTTCTTCTTGTTGTTCCTTCTTCGTGAACAATTACCTAAACTGTGACCAACAGCGACTAACCAACAACCCACCTTCTGGGGCCCCAGCATTTACATACCCTCTGAGAAGTCCCCAGAATTCCAAATGTCAATTACAGAAACCATCTGCAGCTGGCAAAATCATGTCCCCCACCCCCACCCCGCATGAGGCAAAGCACAGTCGGCTACTGTGCACAACCCGAGGCAGCCCCACATCCCACACCTGGGATTCAAACGAAACCGGATACTATTTCTGTGGTCTTTAAGGAGAAGAACCCAAAATTCCAAAATTGTCACTACAAAGCCTACTTGCTTTTCTAGTGTGAGCAACGGTGGCAGAATCAGGGACTGACGAAGGTGCTGAGTGGACAGCCCCCTGAGACTGCCGTGGACGCTCTTTAGGCTATAGTGGGGAATAGGGCCTAGGAGTAACAGGGGCCTTACCCCAGCAGAAGGCTCAGCATCTTGACTCTCCCGCACCCACTGGCCTGAGGAGCAACCCCACTGATGGCGGCCCTGTCACGCCAACCACTGTCCCACTGACCCAGACTACCTCTCAGAAGGACATCGTACAGCCAAGTCACAGAATAACACTGCACATGTAACACAAACGTGTGTTTGTAACATGCCTTCACCAAGGGTTCTTCTAATGCTTTTGTTTTGCAATTGCCGGTTCCTGATACCAACAGTGGCTGTTGTCTTCACTTCCCCCTTGGATCTTTTGTTTTCCTTTAAACCGCCCCCCCCCCGCCTCTCTCGGGCTCTCTCCCTCCCTCCCTCCCTCCTTCCTTCCCTCCCTCCCTTCCTCCTTTCCTTTCTTCATGATAAGTTCTCATGTAGTCCAGGCTGCCTTTGAACACCCTGTAGCAAAGAATGACCTTTGAACTCTGGATCCTCATGCCTCTATCTCCGTAGTTCTGGGATTATGGCATGCACCGCCACACTCAGTTCTCATGAGCTTTTGTGCATGTGCACACTCATTTGTATGTATAAATGTGGGTACACGCATGCCATGGCATCCATGTGGAGCTCTGAGGGACAGCCTTGGGTATCAGACCTCACTCACCTTCTGCCTTGTTAGAAACAGGGTCTCTTGTCATTCCACTTCTACCCCAGGCTAGAGTACCTTAGTGCACCAGGTTAGAGGACCTGTGAGCTTCCTGGGTTTGATGTTGAGTCTTGATTGTCAACTTGGCAGGATTTGGAATCACAGAGGAGACATACCTTCAGGCTCACCTGGGAGGAATTATTTAGATTTAGTCTCTGACCATGGTTATGAGGTTAGTTTATATAAACTTACATAGATTATTAATTTATATACATTTATATAGATTAGTTTAACTGAGGTTGGAAGATCCATCCAAATAGTGAATAACACTATTCTGTTGACTTGGGTCCTAGACTGCATAAAGAGAACAATGCTAACTGGGCGTTAGCCCTCATCCTTCTCCACTTCCTGATCGTAGATGCGACGTGACCAGCCACCTCAAGCTCTTGCCGTCACTCCTCCACCATGATGTACTAGATCCTTCAACTGTGAGCCAGAAGAAACCTTTCCTTTTGTAAGTTGCTTTTTGTCAGAATTTTAGTGCTCTGCTTTTCTACTGTGGTAAGACACCATGGCCAAGGCAACTTGTGGAAGAAGGAGTTTATTGGGGCTTACAGTTTCAGAGGGTGAGTCTGTGACCATGATATCATGGTGTAGCATGGCAGCAGGCAAGCAGGCAAGCAGGCATGGCCCTGGAGCACTAGCTGAGAGATTGTATCCTTATCTGCAGGTAGGAGGTAGAGAGAGAGCTAATTTGGAATGTCATGGGTTTTTGAAACCTCTGACCCATGCCCTCCCCCTCCCCCACCCCCCACCCCCACAACACACCACATTCAATAATTAGGCCACACCTCCTGATTCTTCCTGAACAGTTCCCAAGCATGAACACATATATGAGCCTTTGGGGGCTGTTCTCATTCAAAGCATCACGAGAATTTCATTGTAGCACTGAGATAAGTAACTAGGGTGTGGGGGTGGGGGTGGTTCTCCTGTCTCTGCCTCCCATTTCTTCTTAGGAGCTTTGAATTTACACACAGAATGATTGTATTGTTGTATCTGGCCTTTATGTGGGTTCTGGGGATTCAATCTCAGGTCCTCATGCTGGCATGGTAAGTGATTTTTACTTACTGAGCCACCTTCGCAGCCTTCTTTTGAGCTTTTTAAAGCCTGTAAGTTAGCAACTTCATTCCCTATGTGTATTAATTATTAAATTATTCCTATGTGAATTGCCATATATCATATTTGTATCCTTCTTGCAAATTTTACATGTTCGTAGATTAGGCAATTTTGCATTTGCTTTTCTGTTTAGAGAGTGAGTAAGCAGTGGTGGCGGGCCCTGTGCTGGTGACTGTGCATTTTGGGCTGGGAAGAGAATTAATTCTACCTGTAGCAAAGCAAAGGCCAGGGCCTCTGCTGTCGTTATGTGATGGACATCCATTCTGCCTGTCCAGTTTCCTTCTTCAGGTGTAAGTACTCATGTCATCCTCCTGGAGAAGATAAACTGGCCCCTGCTCTTTCCTCCTTAGGAAAGAACTGACAGGTGCTTATGGCAGTGTGATAAGTCAGGAGCACTCAGGATCCTGTCAGCAAGCCTGCTTCTTTGTCATATCATTCTGGGAGCACTCTCTGGAAGATGAAGGGGTCAGAAGTAGATGACACAGTCTCAACGTACAACCTGGGAGATAGGCCAAGGTCTGGGATGAGCCTGGGACAGGATCTCTCCTGGGGATCATTGGAAGCAAAGGGGTAATTTGAAGAGAGCAGGTCATACTCTCCAGGGAGCACAGAGAAAACACATGGGTCTGGAGCTTTCTTTGGGCCCTTTGGCTATAGCAGAAGAGCAAAGTCAGCCAACTGGAGATTGGAAGGAAGGCGATCTCTGCTGTGGTATCTCTGAGGCAGGCCTCAGAGGGCAGGTAACTGCAGGAGCAGACAGCTCTCCCCAAAGCTGAATCAATTTAGCATGTGTATGAGTTCTGCTGCCTTTTCAATTCTGCTGAGGTGATTTTCCCAGAGTTCACGATCAATCCCAAATAAGAGTCCAGCTCAAACTACCTGAAGCAAAAATGGGGCTCTGTGAGTCTGGCAGCCTGGGAACCATAAAAGTGGGTCAGGCTTGGCTGCACCCAGTGACTGACAATCGCTTCAGGTGTATTCCCCTCCTTCTGCTGGCTTCCCTAAGCATCATTTCCAGACTGGGGTCCTCTGAGAGGTGGAAAGGTGGCCACAGGCTTTCCCACGCCAGCACCATTGACACTGTTTGTTTGCCACACTGCCACCTATCCCCTGTTCACTTCCCATGGTGGTCTCTACCCTCCCCCCACTCACTTTCCATGTGGACACTACACATCAAGCTGTCGTATGTCCCACAACAACACTGTTACCACAGCTCACTGTCACAAAGGTATACTTCCCAGTAACCCAGGGAAGACACACCTTGACCTAGGTAACATGCACAGCCTTGAGCCAGTCACTCTCCAGGAAGTGGAGGAGGGTGACAGATATCTTGAGGTTCCCCAGTCATGTCCTCCCCTAAGGAGGAAAAAGCAGGGGACACTTTATCTTCTCCAGGAGGATGACATAGTTACTTAAACCTGAAGAAGGAAGCTGGGTATGCAAGATGGATGTCCATCACCTAGAGCTAGCAGAGGGTCCTGGCCTTTGTTTTGCTCAAGGCAGAATTGTTTTCCCAGCCTAAGATGCACAGTCATCTGGATGTCTATGCTGCAGGGTTAAATTAAGGCTGTTGTCTGCTTAGCATTGCCACAGTTCTGTGACGTACAGGGTGAACGCTAGCGATCTCCATGCCTTCTTGTAAGGGACATCATAGGCCTTCTCATGGAGGCTTCCCACCTCCCTGTATGGGAAATCCCTCACACCAGACCTTCCCATGCAACAAGCTGCTATGCTCAGGGAGAAAATAGCTTTTTCCTAACATGCTTGTGTCCCAGGATGCTGGTCCCTAGCACCACTTGGCCTCTGCTACCTCTCCTTGCCAGGCTCATGGTCTCTTTGGGATGCACACCTTGACTCAGATCTTGATGAGATGTTGGTGTCACCTATAGTTTGTGAACAGGTCCGTCTGGTGGGTGGACCTGCAGGGAACGGACAGAGCTGCCAGGCTGGGCCCTGACAAAGGCAGCGTCTGTATGGCTTCGGAGCTCCCTGCATGTGTGCAGCTGCTTCCTAGTCGAGCTGTGCCCCACAAGCCCTGGGAGCTTCTCTCAGCTCCCCCTTATGGGGCTTCACTGAGTTTTTGTTTTTCTCTTTTCATCTTAGAATTAGTTGCTTTTCTTTTGCTGCTGTAACAAATACCCAAGAAAGACAACTTAAAGACGGGGATAGTCTATTTGTGCTCATGGTTTCAGAGTTTGATGCACCATTTGGCCCCATGGATGGAGCATCGTGGCAGGGGAAGCACGTGGCAAAAGCTTTCTTTACTTCTGTGGGGTACAGAGGGGAAGTTAATGTAGGAAGGGTCCAGGGCAAGATATAGCCCCCAGGACATACCCTCTGTGAACTGCTTCCTCCAGTGAAGCCCCACCTCCCACTTTGCCATCTTTCTATAATGCCATCATCTTTCCAATCTATGGAGGGATTAATCTGTCAGTAAGTCAGAACCCTCCTGATCTAAGCTCTCTGGAAAAGCCATCTCAGGCGCACCAGAGGAGGGAGGTGTGCCTTTCTAATACTGCCTCTTAATCCACCGCTTGACAACTGAGACTGTCACAGTGTTGTCTAATTTCCTGTCTGGAAATGGAATTTGGGGTCTCTGTGTACCAGGGAAAGGCTGTGCCAGGAGCTACATTCCAGCCCACTGAGATGCATGTTAAGCTCTGGACGCTCTTCTTCAGGTGTCTTATCTGGAAGGCTGAACTGACTGGGTTGTTTCTTTGGTTTTTTACTTTGTTTTATTCTTAAGACAAGGTCTCACTATGCAGCCTGAAAAACTCAGAGTGTATACCAGGGTGGCTTCAAACTCAAAGAAATCTGACTGCTTTTGTCTCCCAAGTGCTGGAATTGGGCATGTACGACTGTATATGGCCCCGTGGCTGGGTTGGGAAGCTGCCCACTCCCTTCCCATCTTCCACAGCATCCTTGGATCATATCAGCATCCTGGGTTCTGTCTTAGTCAGGTTTCTATTGTGATGAAACACCACGATCCAAAAGCACGTTGGGCAGGAAAGGGTTTATTCAGCTTAGACTTCCACACTGTGCTTCATCACCAAAGGAAGTCAGGACAGAACTCACACAGGGCAGGAACCTGGAGACAGGAGCTGATACAGAGGCCATGGCAGGGGTGGGGGTGGGGCTGATCACTGGCTTGGCCATCATGGCTTGCTGAGTCTGTTTTCTTAAAGAACCCAGAACCACCAGCCCAGGGATGGCACCACCTACCATGAGCTGGACTCTCTCACATTGATCACCAATTGAGAAACTATCTTACAGCTGGATCTCATGGAGGCATCTCCTCAGCCAAGGCTCCTAACTCCCTGATGACTCTAGCTTGTGTCAAGTTGACACAAAGCCTGCCAGCACAGGCTCCTCAGAACCCCATTTGAGAAGCTCTGGGTGGTTATGTCCATTGGTGTCTCTTTTTAGAATTTTTTAAATCTCCATGGGGATAAGGCTGCTGGAAAACATTTTCTTCCTTTACTAGATTGTTATGAAAAGGTCAATAGTGAGCTCCTTGTCATCCTCTAGACTCAAACGTAGACATAACGGCTGGACCACACTCCTGCTGCAACCGGCTGCCTCGCTGCCTCTGTGCTGGGCCAGCTGCTTTGGGGAGTCTGTTCTTCTACTGCACTGGTCAAATAATCAGGGTCTCAGTTTACCTTCTTCCCAAGAAGCCACAGCCAGAGGCTCCACTGCTGGCACTGGGGACTCTGGGAAGCTCTGTGATGCTCAAGGCTCGGGCCCCACCAGGACTGATACTAACTTTTGGGAAATGTCTAGAATCTAAGCGCTTTCTAACAACAACAGACAAACCCTTCAATGCTGACAGGTCACACATGTTTATAATTCTAATCACTTTGAAGGCTGAAACAATAGGACCCTGAGTTCTAGGCCAGCCTGGGCCATTCAGCAAGATCCTGTCTCAAGAAATAGCAAACTTTTGCAATTTGTATGTATCTGGACTGAAAACACATTCCCCCAGGGGATGTAAGCCGTCCCTGAAGGTCCTACCTTGGGTGGGAAACACCCTACAATTGTCTGTCAGCTGCTGCCACTGTGGGACTTGGTCTCCAGGACAATAGTGGTGGGGTGGCTTGGCCCAGCTTCCCTGCACTAGGGAGAGAGAATCCAGGCCTGGGTTTGGCTCCAGCTGGGCCTTGCAGGCTGTTACTTATTGAGTTAAGTCAGAGTGGCTCAAATGTTGATGTGCAGCACCTGGGTCGCCCTTGGCAACCACCACACACGAGAGGCCCTCCTTTTGCTGGGGCTCCCTGTAACCCTCTCTCGGCTGGGCCCATTGCTTTCTGGTAGGTGCTTCTGGTTCTCCTGGTACTA